AGAGCCCCTAACTTGCATCACACCTAGTGCCATGGAAATTTCTGCACTTGGAAAAATTGTAATTTTGGCTTAACCTACAAGAATCTCAAAACAAACCAACATGCATTCAACATATATACACCTTAAATAACACAATTCTAGTACAAGAATCAACATGCAACCACAGATTTCAAGAATCACCCATTTTCATCCAAACTCCTTTAATGCAGCACACTTAAACAAAAAGTTCTCCCTTCTTGAATTCAATCAATATCAACCATCACATAATGAATCCAAAAAGAAATCAAACACTATAATTTAACAAGCATCAATCAACAAATTTCTCTTACCTCAAATCACTCTAAAATGAGAAGAGGAAAGGAAGAAAGTAAGAGAATCTCGAACTCTTCACACGATGACTCGACCTTGATTCTCAACCCTTAAATTTAAATCCACCAATCTAACACTCCTACTAAGTGATGAGGTTCCACTTGGTGAATCCTCAAAGAACACCTTCAAATCCTTCTCGGTTCCTTGGAAGTATGGCAAGGAAGGAAGCTCCAAGAAGCATCAATGTGACCTAAGCTTAACCAAGCCAAGTCGGAAGAAGTAAGAAATAACCTAGCTCTACAAAGAGCGGAGCTCAAGGAGGGTAGAGGTAGGTTAAGAGTGACTTTCGGAGGGAGAGAGTTCAATGTGAGAAATCTCATTCATAAATCCAAAAGTAGCTACAATTCTCGGCCATATAGAATATATAGGGAAAATTAGGTTAAGGTGAACCATGGGTTAGCCTAAGGTTAAGTGAAACCATGGTATGGTTTACTTAACCTTAGGCGCCCAAAATTTGAATTCAAAATTCAAATTTTGGAGCCAAACCCGGACACCACCCATGTGCACCTCATTTGGAATGTAATTTGTCTTCCATTTGAGTTGCATTTCGGTCACACCATGTGCATGTGTGCACATGGCCGAAATGCATACCAAATGCAAAGCTAATTACATTCTAATGAATATACACATGCAACCCTAATTAAACCCTAAATTCAAATGACCATGAAATGAATATCCTAGTCTAAGTGGCCGGAAATACAAGGCCTAAAAGAAATACAAGCCCTAAGGCCCAAACCTACACTACTCCTACTCTACTTGGGCTTGAGTCAAAGCCCAACTAAAAAGTGTGATGGGATTTCCTTGAGCTTGGGCCAATTCTTCTTGGATCTTCTTTGCCATAGCCCTAGTAGTTGGGCCCTTGGCCCATGGGCCTCCTCCATCAGTCTATAGAGATATAAATACAATATTGCATTGTACAAATGACTGAGAATGCTTATCTCTGGTCTCTATCTCGTGGGCTTGATATCACTCTTTTTCTTCTAATCAGAAAGCCCACATCTTCAGGTTTGAGATAGTGATATATATATATATATATTTATTTTTTTTATATTATTTTTATATTTGACTCTTTTTAAATTTGCATGTATGAAAAAAATCTTGAATTCTTATCGTATGTCAAAAATTTATGAAATTCTGCAAAGTTCACAAAATCCTGCAAAATCCATTAAAATCCTAACTTAAAAGTCTGCATAATCCATTAAAATCCTGATTGAAAGTCTTGTGGAATCCTACAAAATCTTAAAAGTCATGAAAATCTTGCAAAGTCTTTTAAAATCCACAGACTTTTTTCAACTAAAAAAGTCCTTTAAAATCCTAATTCAATACACCCCCCTTAATATTAGAGTAATTATTTTTATTTTCAATCTATAAATTAATAAATATGATATAATCTTTTTTTTCCACACATTTTAAAGGTTTTTTTAATTATTATAAATTATCTTTTAATCATCATCACTTTTTTTATATAACTATTCATTCTATCAAAATTAACTATTTTTTTATTAACGGGGACACAAAGTGTTTTTTTCTCTACCAATTTAAAGAATGACATTTAAATGTCATTTATTTATTTTATTTTTACGAAAATGGTTTGTTCTTTTTTATTTTATATATATATATATATGTCCCCGTTAATAAAAAAATAGTTAATTTTGATAGAATGAATAGTTATATAAAAAAAGTGATGATGATTAAAAGATAATTTATAATAATTAAAAAAACCTTTAAAATGTGTGGAAAAAAAAGATTATATCATATTTATTAATTTATAGATTGAAAATAAAAATAATTACTCTAATATTAAGGGGGGTGTATTGAATTAGGATTTTAAAGGACTTTTTTAGTTGAAAAAAGTCTGTGGATTTTAAAAGACTTTGCAAGATTTTCATGACTTTTAAGATTTTGTAGGATTCCACAAGACTTTCAATCAGGATTTTAATGGATTATGCAGACTTTTAAGTTAGGATTTTAATGGATTTTGCAGGATTTTGTGAACTTTGCAGAATTTCATAAATTTTTGACATACGATAAGAATTCAAGATTTTTTTCATACATGCAAATTTAAAAAGAGTCAAATATAAAAATAATATAAAAAAAATAATGTCTGGATAAATAATAATAATTTTTTGTAATATCATGTCGTTCTAAATAGAATTCACCCACATATCCTTAGCTATACTAGTCTTCCAAACATTATTATCTTTTCGCTCTTACTCCCGAGTTTTAATAATAGGCTCAAAATTATGATTTTCATTAACCAGTAATGTTGAAGATGAAGGTTCGTCCATCACTTCAATTGGAAATTCATCATAATGACATTCTTTATGAAGAAAGTTATGTAGTCCCACACATGCTAAAAATTATTCTAAACAACATTTCAATTTTTTTTTATAATTTGTGGTTTAAAATATTTTATTTATAATTTTATAAATGATTAAAAAAAATAGTGCAAACAGCTTTGGTCAACGGACCTTACAGCTATAAAAACATCACAAATGATGAAGTTTGGGGCCATTGATTTTAAAATATTAATTTACAAATGATTTGTTTGATATCATTAGAGCTCTCTCTCTGTTTTTCTCATTTAATACTCAAGAGGTACTATTTTCCAATGAAAATTAGAAGTACACTTGTGACATTTAATATAATGTTTTATTACACATTACAAAAATAAAATCTAATTTTAATACTAATCACTACTATTCTACCTAAATTTTGTCCTTTACTATCCTTGGTTTTCTTATGTACATGCATGATTGCAACACAAGTTACACTATCAACGTGCAACAACTATCCATCATCATCTGAATCCTAACCCCAAGTATCGTGTTTAGGTGGTATTTTGACCATAGCCATGCCATACCAATAAATCTATAAATAATATAAAAAAACACTTTTCTTCAATAATTTTCTTTTAAATATTTTTTCTTTCAATAATTTTCTCCTATATATATAATACTATCATATATAAAATAATCTACTGCAGAAAATAATTAAAAACAAATAAATATATCAAAACAAAAAAAAAAAAGATAGATAAAAATATTTTAATAATTACTGATCATTATTTGATTTTTGCAAAATCTAATTGTTATATATTATAAAAATTATTTTCATAAAATAAAAGGAAAAATTGAAAAAAAAAATTTATGTAAAAGAAAATTATTTTTAAAAAATATTTTGACAAAACTAAAAAGATCAAAATATTTAATTCCACAAAATTGGAAAAATTTTACTATTATTTGATTAACATTGATAAATTAAAATGATATTGATTAACATTAATAAAATATTTAAAACATATTCATTTATCAATTCAAATAATGTATATTATAAAAAATTATAATAAAAATCATTTATGTATTAGTTATCTTAAAATATTATTATAATAAATCATATTCTCATTAATCATTGACTAATTATTTTCCTTTCTTAAATCATTTAATTAATTATGCAAAATAAAAAAAAAGATATTTGAAGTTTTAATCATATTTCAAAAATATTTAATCAAATAAAAATATTTAATCTATCGTAGATTTTACGCTAAATAATAAACGATACCTTTTATATAATCTAGATATTTTAATATTTTAATTACCATTAAATTAAGATAAAATATATTCTCATTTTTTTAAAAACAAATTCGTATTCTTATTAATCATTGATTAATCAAAACATTAAATTTTATGTAACCATAATTACACCAAAATAATCGTTACCTCTTATTTATTATTAGGAATTTTTTCCTTTTTCTTTTGTGTTATGAAGAATCTTTTTACATGATTATTTTATAATTATTCAACCATTTATTCGGTTTAAGAAACTATGCATATTATACATGAAAAAAATAAAATAAAATACACATTTTTTTCTTGATATTATTATCATTTGATTAACATTGATCAAATTAAAACAATATTAATTACCATTGATAAAAGGAAAAAATTGAAAAAAAAATGTATATTTTATGCAAATGAAAACGTTCTTTAAAGACTTTGACTAAATTAAAATTGAAGGAAAAGTTATAACAAGTAATCAAATTGATCTCCAGGTCATTAAACGCATTCAATTCAAATTTTAATGAATACATTTTTCATCAATTGTTTCATTCACAATGATTATTAATAAAAGTCAAGGTCAATTTTTAAAGAAAATTGAAGTGTATCTTCCAGAAACCAATTTTTTTTATTTTTTTTATTTTTTTTTTATAGTCAACTATATGTAAGAATTTCAAGAATTACATTGAAGAATAAATTAAAAATTTGACAGTGAAAATAAAGATCCAAATATGTATTAAATGCCGTCTACAAAGCAATTTTCAATAATTTGTAACAAATTAATATATATTTATTTTTTAATATTATTTTTTTAACTTATTCTTTTTATTATTATACTTTATATCTACTGTTGCCGTCAATTTTTAATCATGTAATCAATTAAATATTAAATCACCTAACTTACCAAAATAAACTATGCATCACCAGATATAAATTTAGTTATTGTATAATATCAAATTCTAGATAACAATTTTTGCATGTATCATTTAATATAGCCTTTGTCTTTGACTTTGTAATTATAAAAGAAAAACAGTATATTAGAGTATACCATACCAAAAACAAAACTTGGAACCAATAATTGCAACTTTCATCAGACACAGAAGAATTGTGAGGATGTTTGTTCATCAGATTCTTAAACACGCCAAGCTATCTGTCTTCCCTCTAATCACTTTCTCTGCCATAATATTTCTTATCCATGCAGATAGTATCATCTACAATGATTCCCTACCC